TTTTTCAGTTATAGAATATTTGTTGGGTAATTTTTTTCAGTTTATGAATCATTCTGTAATTAAAATCCTCGCCTACAGATGTACCGGAAAGGAGACGGAGTAGGCAAGAATGACGAAAAGAGTGAGGAGTTCAAGAAGAAGGCGCTTGACCTTCAAGACCAGTACAAGGAACAAATGCAGATTCAATTCCAGCAAGGAACTAAGCCAGTTTAAAGTTATCTATTATTTATTTAATTTTCAAAAGTGTTTTAGCACTTGTCTTTATACCTATTTGTGATAGTCGGGATATAGCTAATATTTAGTTTTATATATGTACAGTGCATGTAGAAATTTTGTAAATTATCTGTACAAAGAACTTTTTTTCTCTTTTGTCAAAGTATGAAGTGTTTTTATCATATTTATGATTAGAAATGTCGAGAATTACAAAAAAAACATATGACATACATTATTCATTTCTCATATTTTTAGTATGGGATTTGGGTAAATATAATATACGTAACTGTGGAACTAGAATCTTGTAAATGTGGCATTTGACATTGTTAATAAACGAATAAGAAAAAAATGAATATAAAGACTGATTTTTCCAAATGCAATAATGTTCAAGTTGTCCATTGCTACTCCTCAAAACTTTGGGCACAAAGAAGAAAAATATACAAGAGAATAAGGGAAAATCTGAAAGAGACAGGACCAAGAAACACCAGACATAAGGAAAGTAAGAGACAGGAAATCAAGGGAAAGACAGAGTGAGGGAAAAGACATGCAAGGAGATTGAATCCTACATGCCAACTCAAAAAGAAAGAAAGAAAGAAAAAAAAACATAAAACAAACAAGCAAATTTGCCAAAGCAAAAATGAAAGAATAGCAGCACATCAAGTAATTCAGTACAAACAGAGTTTGGCAATCCGAAAGTCTTTAAAAGAAATTACAGACTGAATCATGATATTTAGGTCATTTTCAACTTTATTTGTTTTACATCTTGAAATGAAAGTAAAAGGCAAGAAATACCATATGTTAAAAAAAAACATCGAGAGGCAAAAGATTTTAAAATGAAATCAAATGAATGCAGTAATGTCACATGGCTAGGTTAAAGCTAAAATAAAAAGGTGGAAAATGTTGATATTAATAATGCAGGAGACTTTGAAGAAAACTCTCGTCCATTAAAGGTACGATTTACATTCACATTAAGTTTTGGTGCCAAACTCCACATCTTTGATGTAATCATTAGGCATATAATAGATTACTTTTTAAGAGATCATAGTATATTCAACCCTGATATAGTAGACCCAGTTAATTTTCCTAGTTACCATGCTGGTATGTTAGGGTATTAGGCATTAGTTCCTTCAGTATCCTCACCTTATATATAACCTTTGAAGATGCTCAGACTAAATTCTGAAAATGAAATGCAAGATAAAATTATTGCATCTGGTAGTGCCTTTGAGAAATATGGAAGTCACAGGGTCACAGTAATCTGTAATATCATTTTCTGCTGTGTAATGTTTAGGGCTTGACATTTTGTAATTATTTTTTTCTTGTATTTATAGATATTGTATTGCTTTTTTTCTCATTACCATTTGTGTAAAACGAACTACAGCCTAATGAAAATCTTCCATGTAGGAGCAATGTCTAATATTTTTAACTGGGTTGTAAGACTATCACACACACACACACACAAAAAATATCTTTTGGATACTTAAGATTACAGAGAAAAGGTGTTTCTTCAATTTGATAAACTGTATCTGCATTAAGTTTTGAAATCTAGGTCTCTTTAATCCTCGAATGTGAATTTAAGTAAGCTGGGTTTGTAATACTGGCAACATACCCCCATTCTGACTACAGAAACAGTGTTGGAAAAATTACAAACTGAAAGAAATCCATGATGATAGGACTTTTACCACAACGAAAATTGTAAGGAAATGCATAGATTCTGAAATTAACGATATAAATGATTATTGTCATCTTCTCAAATAAATGTTATGAAGTTAATAGTATCTGACCTGTGACTTGAACATTAAAAAAGAAGTGAAACTAAGGAGGTACTAAAATATATTATGATTCAAGATGACAGCAATTAAGTCTGAAAACACCAAAGTTTCTTATTTTTCTTGTATATATATATATATATATATATATATATATATATATATATATATATATATATATATATATATATATATATATATATATATATATATATATCAGCCTTCATCCATACTTACATGTTATTTTTGCCTCCTAGTGATGTTCTAATTATTTATCTAGTACTTTCAGTGCTTCTATAATGCCTGCATTACATAAAAAGTGGAGTAAAAGAAATAACACATCTATTCAAAATAATTTACTGTTTGATAAAAAAAACAATAAAAGACTGCTCATTTGAGGCCTTCTGTATGTTAAGGAATACCAGGCTAATTGACAACTAGTTTTCTGTTGCATCTTCCACTTCCTTTGTTTGACTTGAGCCTGATAACACCTTCTGCGGCTGGGTGTTGACCTTCTTCCG